TGTCTGCTTCTGGATATCGCATTGATGAAACATTTGTAATAGCGCAAATGTTGCTACATCGCGACATCTCAGAGACGTCATGTCGTAGATGTGTTTGCTTATGATTATTGCAGCGATGGAACGTTTGTGATATCGCATTGTTACCTAAACGCGACATGAAGCATACATACTATATCGAGGCACACCATTCGGATTTGTTATTATATCGCAGGAGATGACAGTGCGACATACGTCGTGGAATTGTCAATGGTATTGAAAGCACTCATGATATTACCCCTGAAAAGAAGCGTATGAACCTAAAAATGGAGAGAATCAATTAGGTAGGTATTCAAACATTATTATGATGATGTCGAAAGTTTCAGGAAATATTGAAGAAATGCACAGAAGTTTGGTGAAGTTGCGGCGAACAGTCGAGTTTATATAATTTAGGATGTCAGTATGTCAGGTCGGCAAATCGTCGCCTAGCAACAGCTCAAACCGCCTGGCCTATTTTCGGGCTCTATTGATCCGCTCCGGTTTTTCTTTCTCTTGGGGTTAAATCCAGAGGCGCATTCGGTTTGGATCCAGATCTCATTTAATATCAGAGACGCACTTTCGTTTCGCGGGTTCACAGATACATCACGAACAAAGGGGTGTTTTATTCTTGGCTATACAGCAGTATACAGACAGGGACGGCTCGGGAGGGTAGAACATCAATGATACGAATGATTTTTAACAAAAGTATACTTCTCCTCTCCTATACATTTCAATTTTCATTTCAATACTGAATAGTTATATTTTAATATCACTTACATCATATTATTTATCTGATTCGATAGGGGAATGTCATAATATAATATATCTCTTGGATGTGGCTTTTAAATAGACATCATGAAAGTACCTATATAGTTTTGTTTTCTGTTGAATATTCAGAATGGTGTTATACAAGGTGCCCCAGAGCAAACGTTGAACAGGGTGAACAAGTGACCAAAATAGGCCGACTATATAATCAACAATTTCATGTCCAGATTTTCTTCAATATCTCGAAATCCTTATTGAAAGGTACACGGTTCTGAAATCGTAGGGCCATTCACTACCTATACAGAGTATTTCATATTATTTGCACTTCAGGATGTGATAGCTCGTCCAAAAATATGAAAAAGTTTCTCTTACCTATAACCCTCTAATATGCACCATTTTCGAGATACAGGGTGTTGAAATTTGAAAAAGAAAATCGCTTTTTGCCAATATTTCTGGAACCGTTCATCTCACAGAAACAATTCTCGTAAGCATTTTCTAATCATAATAAGCTATGTTTTGTGCAGAAATTATTCATTTTGAAGTTATAATTGCTGAAGAGTTAAAAGGGGTAGTGTGCTCTTCTCCCCAACCTCTACGACACTGGAAAAGGTATACTTTTGAGCCACCCATTTGAAGCGCCAATGTTTTTTACAAACAAAAGGTACTCTGGTTCATAAGCTCCAAAGTTGACAGTTTTTGAAAAAAATCAACTTTTTAGTTGAAAAACATCGTCAATTTTTTTGAATAACTGTTATTTTGCTAATCAAACAAAATTCATTTTTGAACGTTAAAACAAGTAACAAAACCAAAAGTCAATTTCATAATTGCAGAATTAAAAAAAAAACAATAACTAATCATAATAAGTTGAATTAATTGTTGGAAATGTCCGCCGTTAGCTTTGATGCACGCGCCAAAAACAATTATTATTGAACATATAAGTAGATTTTTCTCAAAAACTTCAGAGCTTTTGACCAAGATCACCTTTTTTGTGAAGAAAACATTGGCGGTTCACATGGGCGGCTCAAAACTGTGTTTTTTCTATAGTGGCGTGGATGTTGGGGGAAAAACACTCACTATATCCTTTCAAAATATTCACCAATTATGAGATGGAAATAAATAAATTCCGCACGAAACTTAGCTTATGATGCGTACGAAAGCTACTCGGAAAGCTATTTACTCTGTGAGATTAACGCTTCCAGAGATATTCGCATAAAATGAATATTTTTTTCAAATTTCAACACCCTGTATCTCGAAAAAACTCCCTTCTACAGGTTAGGTTGAAGTAAACTCTTTTTCATATTTTGGACGAGGTATCCTGAACTCCTGCAGATATATTATGATATTATGAAACACCCTGTATATGGTGAATGACTATGACTGTGCATGGAAAACAAGTTCCAATTCATGAAACTTTATTGTTGTAGTATGGCACTGACCACATTTTGATATTTCAAAGGAAGACAAAATCAAATTATCTCACTAGGTATTTCCTAACTACAGTTTTTTAAATTATTTTCCTTGGTTTTCGAGATAAATAACAAAATTCATTTTAGTGCTTCTCCATACTACTCGTTTATTATATTAGAATTATCATCATGTTCTGCTTATGTTTCTACCTCATTCGTGTTGAATTATTGACCACAAGAAAAACTTTATTCGAGAAAAAATAAATGGATTTTAAGATGACCAACAACATTATCATATGCTTAAAGAAGTTCATATAGCTAGGAAAGTAGTTGTTTTCTGTTGAATAAACCGAAAAAGAATTGGAATTTTGATCACATAGAGAATGCGAATTCTCAATGTATTTCTTTATATATATCCATTTTTCATATTAATAATATACAGTGTGGAGACTTTAACTGGAATAAATTCGTTAGCGGAAAGGTGAATATTTTTTCTAAAAATGCCCGGCATACATCAACGATTTAATGTTTTTACCTACCTTTTGCAAGCAATCTCGAGATAATATCCCTCCAGGGGTAGCTGAAACCACCCTCAAGATGATTTTTTCAAATTATGTAACCCAATATGGCTTGTGCCCCTCATTGAAAAGCTGGTGAAAAGAGGAATCCAGCGTACTAGTCAAATTTCAGTTTTTCATACGTTTAAAGGTTGCATAAAATTGAAATATAATTTTAAAATTCAATTTTTTTTCAACATATCAATCGCTCCAAATTTGTGTTGAACAATTGTTGGCAATTTTCTGCCACAACTGCTATCTGCTATTGTATTCCAGTGTTTTCATGAAGTCGCAAAAAGAAATTTTGTTTTTTTGCCTTATTCACAATTCGAAACGGAGTGTTATTGCTAACTGGCGGAGATGCCCTTTGTCACTACTGTCACTAAAAGTCGAAATTTTGATGAAAATACGTTGAAAATATATCAAACTTCGAAATTATATCTTGATTTTATGCGACCCCCAAACGTGCAGCAAACTGAAATATGATCAATATGCTGGATTCCTCTTTCGACCAGCTTTCCAATGACGGGTCGCAAGCCATAAGTTTGCATTTGAAAAAAACATGTAGGTAAATACATTTGAACGTCAAGGTGTCTCGCGAATTTTCAGAAAAATCATACACTCCCCCAGTAGCGAATTCATTCCAGTTAAAGTCTCCACCCTGTATATCTGAGTATATTCCTTTTGAATACATTTATCCTCAACACAGCATACCAAGCTGTGTCTTCGTGAGGATGTCACTGATGAATAATTAGTTTGAAATTACTAATGCGCAAATTATGTTTGATGACATCATTAACTTCAGACTAAATGAGTGTTCTTTTATTTCATTTGCATTTTTTTGTACAAATATTGTTTGTTGAGTCATGTTGGCAGTTCATTGAAAATATATTGGTACCAGATTCAGATTTAATTTTTATGAGGGAAACTTGTCTGTTTGTTTAGTTGAATGTGAATGTATTTCACCATTACTTTCCTTCTATTTTTTGTGGATAAATATTGATCCCATAATATGATCGAAATAAAATTGGTTTCCATTTAATCAAAATAGTCACTGAATGGCTTCCATTTAAGAATGTTTTCAATCATATGTTCCCTATTGTTCTCCTCCTAAGTAAATCAAGTTCTATACTCAATAAATAGTCTTTTTATTGCTTTTAATTCGAACTATTTTGTTTTAGAAAATCTAGGTGAAGAGTTGATTGGTTTTCATTTTATGAAATTTAAATGAATGTATCTCCAATGGATAATTTTTTTAAATAATATCTTTCCTATTGCTCCCCTCCAAGGGCATGTAAGTCAATGTACAGAGTAGAATTGATTGGTTTTCATCATATAGAATTTGAAGAGACTGGTTTATATTTTATGACTAGACTTTTTTCAAACATTCTTTTACTATTGCCTCTCTCCTAGGGTATAAAGTCACTCTGTATATATGTATAGTGCTTCCTCTTTCCCCAGTTCGACATATTTTTTGTGTTAAAGTGAAAAATTGATTGGTTTCCATTCACGTTCTATTTTCTGTGACAAAAACAAGTTGAAGAATTGGTCGGTTTACATTTTATCAAATTTGATTGAATTGGTAACTATTCCATTTGGGTGAGTATATAAATTAATGTGCATGTACATTATTATACTATTCAATTATAAATCTGCCTGAATTTCTTCAAATTTGACATGGGGAGCTTCTATCAATGTCACAGGTTATGATATTTTTTCCCAATATTAGAATGAAAGACTATGCAGTCGGCAGAAAATATAGAATAGCTAAAATATTCGTTATCAGCACAAAACACAAGTTTATATTATAGGAAGTGTTTTTGAAATAAGTGCACATATTCAGCACATCAATATGATGCAGTCTAAAGAATATTCCCATATCAGATTTTTACCAATTCTTCTAAGAAATTAAAAAAAAAATCGAGTACGTCACTTTGAAGCAATTTGAATCATTGAGCTCCGTGTGTATGTCGAGCTTTCTCAGGGCTTGAAATATTTGCACTTATTTCAATGCTACCCTGTATAAAGTAGCTCGTTATCATTTTTGGATTAAAATAGTAATAACAACAATGTTCAAATGACTATCGACCGAAGTCCTCCCGCCACTTATAGTTACTGTTTCCGTAAAATTTTCAATTTATCAATATGGTGGACACTATTATGAAATTATATAACATCATTCATCTTTCATAACAGTAAAAAAATCAGGCCTAAGAATGATTTCTATTTCCCGTTAGAGAATAAAACAACGGGAAAGTCAGTAAGTAATACATTTTAATTTTCATAATAAAATCACTATATAAATATATTCACAAGTTCAACAGTCAAACAGTCTAAAAATATGCAAAACATCAGTTTAAAAATATAACTACAGAATCTAACATATTAAAAATAGAAATATTTAAAAAGTTTATTGTCCCAATATATCTAAAAGTTACTCACAGATGAATACAGACATTTCATTAATAAATATATAAAACACTGAAACAGCATAAACTTTTGTCATGGTCATCATGAGCATGAACAAAATGTTTAATAATTAGAGAACATAGAAAGATAAAAAGTTAGTTTTTCCGTGGCTCATTTGATATAGAAACATTAATTGGATGTCGTCTTTGCATGTAGGATTTCAGACGTGAAGATGATATTACAGCAGTCAGTGTCTCCTGAAAAAAATGAGTTCGAAATTACTCGAAAAATATAACAAAGAGATGTTACAACAGTCACAAAATGGCCAGACGGCGACAGGTTTTGAATTCTTGGAAGATACAAGAGAAGAGATACAACTATCAAATAAATCAAATTGATGGTTTGAAATCTATAACAACGATCTACATCATTTTCCATACGACAGAAATTTCATTTCGAAATTGATAAAATGAAAAATCAACCTCATATTTATTTGATCAGAATGAACATTCTTGAACAAATTCCTCACCAATAGGACTCCGAGGGCCAGTTGCGTAAATCTCTCTGTTTACTAGATATCAATATCAACTCTCCTAACCTATCAGCTAAGGTAGGGTCCCTTGATGGAAATTGACGTTGAAGTCATCTTAACAGGGTACGGACAGATCCTCGTCTCCTCTCACTCTAAAGTGTTTGTGAAACAGTTATATAGTTCCATCCTTATTCAATTTTGGGGATAAACACTAGATTTTTGACATTCGTTGTTTTTTAGGTTATATTGAGGGCACTGGCGTATCATACGTAATTTCCATATGGAATTTCTTACTCAACTATACCAAGATATAGATGAACAATCCTCTAGTTTTAGAGTTTACTACTCCAGCAAAATCTTTGCGAGTTAGGGAACATATCAATTGTACTGATGAATGCTTAATATATTTCACCTAAGATGCCTAGAGACATCTCAATTTCACCAAAAGAGACTGTTCTTAGACTGTATACCAGGGTTGACTGAATTGACTGAATGAATTCTGATTCCAAGCTGAGCAGTAGTTCATCTATGAGCTGAATAAGCAGAGCCTTATGATTGAGAAATGGGGGAAACCTCGGTGTGGGTATCTAAACTACTGTGCTCATGTCATGTGTGCTGAATATATTGTCGTAAGTTCAACTTGGAGAAGAATTAATGGAGTTACTAATATCACACTATGTATAAAACTTCGTCTAGGACGAGAAAAGGCTGAAAAAAGAATATACTCCACCTTATTTTTCCCTCTCCGTTGAATAACAAGTCATTTTCGAATAATTCATTGATGAAATAAGTAACAAAGAAGTAGGTATACGCAGTATTTCTTATAGGCACGTTATTTTCACTCTTGCATCCTACATATTTTCTATTTGTGGTAGAGTGATAATAATTATATAAACTAATGTCTTTCGCCATATTGAATCCATCATCTTCAATTTTCCAATTTTTACGAAACAATCATTATCTCCTACCACGAAAACCAACAGATACCACATTTGAATAGAATCGGATCTTCATTACAAAACTCGTTCACCATACTGGATTCGCCATCTTGAGTATCCCAATTTTGACGAAATAATTATAATCTCCGACCCCGGAAATCCATAGATACCAATATTGATTTTTGAATAGAATCGGATCATGATTACAAAATTCGTTCGCCATATTCGATCCGCATCTTGAATTTCACAATTTTGACAAAAAATCATAATGTTCAACTCCGAAAACCCTCAGATACCATCAATCTTAAATAGAATCAGATCATCATTAGAAATTTATTTCGCTATATATTAGATCCGTCATCTTAATTTTTCCAAGTTTGACGAAACAATCATTATCTCCAACCCCGGAAAACCCCAGATACCTTCCAATTTTGAAAAGAATCAATTATCAAAATTTTGAATCATTTTCTGTAACGCCCATGGATGTAACGTGACAGCGATGTCAGTGATGCCAGTAGACAAAACTCAAGTCCCTAGACCATTAAAAAAGAATGCAGCTATGATCTGTCCGTACCCTGTTAAGATGACTTTAATGTCAATTTACATCAAGGGACCCTAAGCTAAGGCATGCATTGTCATGTATACAGGGTGTCTCTCCGGGAAATGCATCGATCAATATATAGAAAACCATAGGTGGGCCGAATTTGAAAATTTGGTTGATCACATTTTTAGATTCTTACTGAAGAGCTAATTTCATCAATGTATCACACTTGGGGTCTATCAGGAATGATTACAGAGATATACTGAATAAAAAAAGGAATTATCTAACATAGACTGGCTGCGTAAAAGAGTATATGATGAAAACTTAAACATTAATTACAAACTCTTGAAAAAAGAAGTAAATAAACAAATTGAATCGGAGAAGAAAAAACATTACAAAAACATAATTGACAACTCCAGCAACAAAAATAAAACAGCCTGGTCCATTGTGAGTGATGTAAAGGGTACAACGAAACACAATGTAGTAACCGAAATTAACTATGAAAATGAAGTAATAACTGATTCAACTAAAATGGCTGATGCTTTTGGTGAATATTTATCTACGGTCATTCAGAAAAAACTGTACAAAACCTGCATATTTCACAAGTCTCAAAATTTCCAGTTTTTCAACCCGATTTTTTTGCAGAAAATATTGATTTTGCGAAAAAAAATGATGAGGACCATTTTTGTAGAAAATTAACTGAACTTCAATTTTTATCTGAACCGAAAATCTCTAACTGCCATATTTTAGGAGATATTGGCTGAAAACCTATTTTCCTGGTCTTTTGGGGCCATTTTCTCCGCCATCGCACGCATTTTCCAGTCAAACTTTGTCTCATGTTTAATGAGGTACCAAAAGCTACTTCCGACCGGAAGATGAAAATAGTGCGTAATTAACGTCAACTTTGCCTTTTTTTCCTCCTTCATTTATTGGACTATAATTAGACATAAAAAATCAATGGTCTCAAAATATTCCCTCATCTGTTGTGGCTCATTGCATATTTCACACTACAGGACATTTGAGGGTAAATGTGACAACACAGTATCTGTTGGCGGTGCCTTGTCAGTTCTCAGCATTCAGCACAATGTTGCCAAGTCTTCAACATCAACATGATATTTTGTAATGGAGTATAAGAGATATTAAGACATGCTGGTTGCTCGAAAAAGTAAAGAATGAATCATTATATCATGGCTTTCTTATATTATGTTTTATCTCGTGTTTTATTCAACAAGACGACTCTAATCTTTTTGATAAATTGATTATAATTGGTGACTTGACAACCTTGCTTCATGAGTGGGAATGGAAGATTATCTGACCAACAACGAAATAGCATAAAAACTAACGTTACCATTTATTCGCCGTATCGCCAAATGGCGGCCATGACGGTACATTTGAAATGAGCTCTGAAATTCAACACTTATGAACAACGCATAGATTCATTATTTACATAAAAAAGTGTGAGAAGTGTTGCAAAAATTGATTTAGTTCCCTAACACACAGTGGGGTAATTGAATGCCAAAAATTGAATATTAGTCCACTCGTCCATTGCCGGCAGCATTCGCGATAGAAAATAACACGTCGCCCCATCTGACGGCAGCCACTTGAACACTTCTGAGCGGTTTGCTTTGATGATATGACCAAATGTGAACCAATGAAAACAAAGTAAACATGCCGGTCTGACAGCTTTCAAGAACTCCGATAGGTGGGTACGCTTATTTTCTATCGCGAATTACAAATGGCCGTAATAAAAAGTGGTCCGGACCCATTTCCTGCAATGCAACGAAAAATTGCGACAGCTATCGAAAATGGCACTAATATGCATAAGCGCAATGAAATTTGCATAGGAAATTGCTATTCAAATAATGATGAAGAATGCGATGTCATGAAGAATACGGAAGACATACCTTTTTCATCCAAGCAGATGCCAGACACTCTGTCATTCCACGCCTGCTGGACGGCGCCAAAACTAACAGCCCTTTTATCAATTCCTTCACTTCTTCTGATACCTTAAACAAAAAAACGATACATATATCATCAGATAAATAGGAAGATTTTTTTTGTAAGGGGGGAACAGTTCATATTTTGAAATCTCAGTGTTGAGTTATTCCAAATGATATTTGATTGTACGTTGAAAATCTTTCAATTTTTATCCTAATTTTCATCTCAGAAAATTCTATGTGAGAATTCAATGAACATTATTCAATTTTACTAGGGTACCGAGAGCAGTGGACAGTGCTCAGAATGTTTCTTCTCTCGTACCAAAATTTGACAAGTATGCCTTTTTTGTTGTAATTGGTCATCAGAAAAATGTATGGAAAAAAATTGAGAAAAAATATTCTGATTATTTTTGGAAAAGTTGGAATGTAATTCTGGAATCTACGCCACTACTGGAGCTTCCGTTGTACTGCGAATTTTTTCAATGTCTGGTTATTTCAAAAACAACAAACAGAATGAGTTTGAATAATTTGTTCACATTCAAGAGAAAATGTTTAACACTTCAATAGAAAAAATTCAATAAAATGAAAAACGTATTCGAAGTTTCTTCATCATTCAGCTTTGTCTACAAGGTCTCGACAAGTGTTTTGCTAACTACGTTAGCATCTTCAGGAGAAAAGACAAATGCAGATGTCGAGTAGTTGAAAAAAATCGGTTTGGTTAGTGGTAAAACAGAGTAGTATGGGATCAATGATATCAGGAAAACTGTAGTCCTCCTTCAGGATATTCGCCGTGGTCCCCTCCAACCAAACCATCAAGAAAAAACGACAGAATTATTATAACAAATGAGAGTTTAAATAATGAGAATACCGATAAAAATACAGTCTTACAAGTTTGTTCAACAAAATGGTATGATATTTTCGGGATGAAAGCTGGCAAGTTACCGACTTCTAGTAGTTCAAACTCAAGTACTAGAAGCTTGAGTGAGAATTTCAGGATTCCCAATGAAAAGTGATTAAATGCATCACTATCACAGAACTATCATAAGAATCTGGAGAAAACCACGAACCTCGGGAAAACTGTAGTCCCCCTTCAGGATATTCGCCGTGGTCCTCCAACAAATCATCAAGGAAGGACGACAACCAGCTCACCATTATACACCAATCATCCATCAATAATGTAAGAAGGTAATGCACAATTATTAAAACAGAGGAAAGTTTAAATAATGAGAATACCGATAAAAATACAGTCTTACAAGTTTGTTCAACGAAATGGTATGATATTTTCGGGATGACAGCTGGCAAGTATCCGACTTCTAGTGCTTCAAACTCAAGTACTAGACGCTTGAGTGAGAATATCAGGATTCCAAATGAAAAGTGAGGCATTCAACAGAATTATCATAAGAATCTGAAAAAAAAAAAAAATAGGAACCTCGCCGAAATACTCCTCGGGAAAACTGTAGTCCCCCTTCAGGATATTCGCCGTGGTCTCCTCCAACAAATCGTCTAGAAAGGACGACACTCCGCTCACCATCATACACCAATCATCCATCAATAATGTTAGAAGGTAATGTACAATTATTATAACAAATGAAAGTTTAAATAATGAGAATACCGATAAAAATACAGTCTTACAAGTTTGTTCAACGACATGGTATATTTTCGGGATGACACATGGCAAGTATCCGATTGCTTCAAACTCAAGTACTAGACGCTTGAGTGAGAGTATCAGGATTCCCAATGAAAAGTGAGGCATTCAACAGAATTATCATAAGACTCTGAAAAAAACTTCTCCATCAGGATATTCGCCGTAGTCTCATCCAACAAATCATCAAGAATGGACAACACCCCGCTCACCATTATACACCAATCATCCATCAATAATGTAAGAAGGTTATGTACAATTATTATTCTAACAAATGAAAGTTTAAATAATCAGAATACCCATAAAAATAAAGTCTTATGAATTTGTTCAACGAAATGGTACGATATTTTTGGGATGACAGGTGAGTATCTGACTTCTAGTGCTTCTAACTCAAGTACTAAAAAGTGAGGAAAAAAACCCACGAACCTCGCCGAAATACTCCTCGGGAAAACTGTAGTCCCCCTTCAGGATGTTCGCCGTAGTCTCCTCCAACGAATCGTCCAGAAAGGGCGACACTCCGCTCAACAACACGTAAACGAACACCCCCGCCGCCCAGCAATCGGTGCGCTCGCCCACGGGCTGGCCCAGCACCAGCTCCGGAGAGGCGAATTCCAGGCAGGCGGGCGGCAAGATTACGGACTTCGAGGTCGTGCTGACCGATTCGCCGAAGTCGACTAGTTTGAGGTGCGGGGGGGTCGACGAAAGGTCTATCAGGACGTTTTCAGGCTGAAACGAATGTGAGCAATGCTAGATAAGTGAAAATTCGATATTTTTTCAATATACCTATACAGGGTGTCCCATATGTCATGGGTCAAGAGAAGTGGGTTGGTAGGGGGGAAGGGGGGTAATTTACAGTCAAACTAACGGTATATGTGGTTATCAAATTGTTGATGGTTTTAAAGGTATTGAATTTTGTGAAAAAAAAACGCAACCCATTTGAAAGGAATTAATAACAAAAAAGCTACCATTTCGGAATCTGTATGGGTTGCGTGCAAGAACTGTCAGATGACCGACCCTGGAGGCACAACATTGTAACACAACCTCACTTTTCTTATTTGTTTACAAGTGATTGAAATAGTTTTTCACTATTATTTTGGCATAGGAATAGTGTTTATCGGCTATTTATTAATTCGCGCATGCCATCACATTCTGCTGTTGTACAATGCACAAAAACTGCAGTGGAAGACGAAGGAATCCGGTTGGTACATTATGATTTAAAAGTGAGTACCTACTATAGTCACTCACATATAGTTTTCATTTTTGAAATTTGGTGATTTTTCTGATTTCTCATCGGAATTCCTTCTGCAATAGGAGCTAATAGAAATACTCGTGAAATTTCTAAAAGAATGCGAGAATATTGGATTCATGCAATCAAACGGCAGGACTGCTGGTCTGACATGCTGACGAAATATGATCGTGTGTGTTGTAGACATTTTCAATCTTGTAGCAGTATTAGCGTCTATTGTGCTTATATTGCAGAAGTGACAGAAGGAATTTTAATAAGGAATGACAACATTTTATAATGAAAACTATGTGAGAGAACATTTTTTGTGCATTGTACAGCAGCACAATGCGAAGGCATGCTTGAATTAATGAATAGCGCAAAAAACATGATTCGTATGCCAAAATATTGTGAAAAACTATTTCAATCCTTTGATTACTCTGTAAACAAATAAAAAAGTCAGGTTGTGTTTCAATAATTCACAGAAGAGTGAGGTTGTGTTTCAATATTTTACCTCCAGGGTCGGTCATCGTGCATGCGACCTATTAAATGGGCAACTTATTCTTATAATAGGTTATCTTTGTGGGGTAATTTTTAAATCTGCCAGCAGCATTCAAAAGTTAACTTAAATATTTCATTCAGTGACAAAAAATCAAGGAAATCAACATTTTTATCAGGTAACACATGTCATAAAATTATTTCTGGAGGAAGGTGAACTCATGTGGATGGAATTTGAAAAAGAGAAAATCACAAATGTGACATAGTTTTATTGTAATTTATTCATTTCATAGAATTGAAAAAATATATATTACTTTTGAACCATCAACAATTGGATAACCACATATACGTTTCGTTTGATTGGAAATGACCCTCCCTTCCACCCACTTCTTTTGATCGATTACTTATATGGAACACCCTGTATATCTTCTCTTCGAACATGTTTTCAAACAAAGTGTCACCGACAAGCAATTGGATTTTTCTTTCAGGCTCCCTGATAAAAAGAAATTGTTGAACGCAGTGACATTTCGGGGAAAATCGTCAGATTTGTCCTACTACACTTATATGTAGTATAGTAGGATAGTTTTAGACGTTTTGAATGTAAGTTGTCTCAGAGCATAAATAGTTCTGGTTCTGGCCCTGAGAGGGCGCATTCAATGATTGCAATGCTATGCTTCTTTCCTCATGGACTTCTACCAGAGATTAATGATTCATTTGAATTAAATCTCACAGAAATTATTACTTCCCGAACTAGGCCGGAGAAGTGCTATTTTTGTAAAAAAATCAAAACATTGGCAAAAGTTAAAAATATTTACCTTGATATCGAGATGTGCAATAGTATTCTGATGAAGCCATTCCAAAGCTGACATCATTTGACGAACATACTCTCTAACTTCACCTTCATTGTATGTTTCTTTATCACTTATATGGTCAAATAATAGTGGTCCCTTCACTCTGAAATGAAAATAAATATTTGTGTAATTATACCATCTGATATTTGTTGTCTTCAAAAATGCTAAGAATACACAGAATATCAAACTATTTGCATGTAATCATGAAATATTTTCTGAAACTATCCCCAGTATTCACAGAAATTGGTGTCACATACGCTTGTACGGTGTACTGTAGCGCCTCCGCCACTAAATTGAATAGGCTACAGGTGCTACAGAACAAGGTACGCCGAATCATTACTAACGGTGATAGATACTCTCGAGTAGCTGACATGCATGCTCAATGCCATGATCTGACCTTGATTAAATATTACATCATTAACGAATCAAATTAATTTCATAAACATCACATTCAGAATAGCGAACTCACGAGAGATATCACGAGAATAAGGGCAGATCATGAGATCCGTAGGAAACATGGGCTGATATATGAGTCCAGCGATGTATTCATGGAATCCCCTGAATAACTTTACCCCTCCCCCTCCCCTCATCCTTATTAGACTGGCTCTAGACAACAAACAGCTGAGGAGCTGATTTGAACGAGAACGGTGGTCGTTTGGCCGGGCCGTATAGACTAAACGCTATGTGGCCCGGCTGAACAACTATCGGAGCATTACCATAAAGCAGGTTCCAGACAACTTAGCATGCCTATCGGCTAAGAAAACTAGTCTCTTTGTCGATAAGAAATCAGTCTATTAGATCCCAATCACCCTCCCACACCTATTTCACCCCTCATCCCTCATAGAGTCTTTCACAGAGAATTTTCAAAAGTTGGTGTTTTATTTTTATTTATCGACGATGAATCTTCTCTGCCCTGGACAACTCACTGACATGAGCTGGATTAAAGGTATACTCCTAGGAGTCAGCTCCCTCATGACTGTCATCAGGGTTTTTATACAAGAATCATCGGCATCGACCTGAGGCTCTCTTGGAGGATAATTCTGTGGCATATCTAAGTGTTCTACATTGTATGTTTTACATTTTTATCATGTCCAATGTCCCCTTTAGAAGATTTTTGTTCATACACCTTGTATTGTGAAATTGTTTTTATTGAATGAATGGAATTGAAACGGTGTCAAGAGAATTAATTTTTATACGGTCTCATCCACTTCTCAGTAAACTTCAAAAGCAGTGACAAGACTGAAACTTTATATATCTGAGTAAACTAAAACATCTTCATAACTGATAATACTTACAGTTCTAGAACGATTGTATCGATACCAGGAGACGGTGCGTTTTCGAACAGTGCTAAGGACCTTATCACATTTTTATGCTGCATACCTCCAAGCAAGGAATACTCTGCTCGAGTAATGCTGAACGACTGTTTCCTTCTGGATATTTGTTTCAATGCAACTTCGACACCTGTTCCCCTGTCTCTTGCCAGACGAACAATGGAGAACTTGCCTCTGCCTATTTCGTTCAGCTCCATATACCTAATGAAGGACAAGTAACACTCACTCAGAAGAATAACACTGAAATAATATTTAGAATGGATGACTGCTGTCAAGTCCAGTCCGAATAATTCTGCGACTGTAAACCATATCATCCATATTATATAAATAACTAGCTGTACCCTGCGCGCGTTTGCAATGCTACTTATTAAAATACATTTGAAAGAAAAAAATTGAGTTCGAGTAATTTTATTTATTGAAGCTGAACCGACAAACATTGTTATGCTAAAAAGCCAAATACTCAAAGTGGAATGCAATGGTCACAAAAAGAGAGAAACTCAAAGTCATTACCACACTACTACACTACACTGTTTTACCACTAACCAACTGGTTAGTGGTAAAACAGTGTAGTGTATTATCGTTCCAAAGGTTCCAGTCTTCGATATATTACCACACTAGTTCATAAAATGAACGAAAATGGTAGTTAACGAGAGAAAAACAACTACTTTTCTGGCTATATGCCACGCAGAACATTGGATTACATCCTCCCGAAATCTATGCAATAATTCGTATAGACGAATAAAATCGCAAGTGTTTCCTTCCTAAACGCTGAGCTGCGCAAGTGGTTCAGGACCTGCAGACCGGTTTCGAGCTGTTGCCTCTCACAAGTACAGGGCTCTCCCAGATAGATTCTTGTGGTATAAATGCTGAGATGCGTTTTCGTTGGTTCAGGTTCGCACCAGATAGCGGTCAAATTAGAATGATCAACCTCAAAATCGAGCCACCAACATTGTTATTTTGGAAACACCCATAATTTTATGGTCGTCAATTATTATGCTATTCCAATATTTATGTTTTTTCTATAATTCCCATTTCATCAGGTATTTGGTATATAATTTCAAGTAATAATCCAATTTCCACTAATACTATTTGTTGAATACGTCATTTCAGGTACAATTGCTAACTATGATGTTAGAGAGAGTAGTAGTACGAAGGTCAGGATGTCCGTCACTCTAATTCGACCAAATCTTCCTATTGTAGTTTATCCACTCCAGAGATTTCGAATCTCATCCTTTCTTTCCATACGCCTCACACTCTCCGAGGAAGTGAAGTGACGTCTCCTCATCTTCTCCGCACCTATGAGTGATAGGTGTCTGCGCAACCTGTTGTGCCCTGTCAGTACTCCTATAAGATGGCGCAGAACTTGGTGATCCCTGCCAAGTAACCAATCCGTCTTTGACTTATTTGATTTTTCAATTTATATTTAAACACTTTCTCATTACTTGAACATTTTATATTTTCTGGAATAGCATTATATGCCCTGAGCCCCAGAGATTCGAAAGAATTGAGACACAGAGACAATCGTGTCGTAGGCAAATGGAATTTGTTTTGGTTCCTGGTATTGTAATTGTGGATATGATTATTTTTTATGAAATCATCTCTATTATTGTGTACAAAAACTAGAAATTCCATGATATAAAGACCTGCTAAAGGTAATATTTTGAACTTCTTGAACAGATTTCGGCATGACTCTAGAGGTGATACTTTCGCAATTATCCTGATAATTCGTTTTTGTGTTGAAAAAACACATCGTGCCGATGGAGAATTTCCCCAGATGATAAGTCCATAGCTGAGTCTGGATTGAATTTCTCCAAAATAATATAGAAGTAAACCTGAATTATCGATAATTCTTCTAAGGTTTCGTAACAAATAGCAAATTTTGTTGAGATTTCTGTCAAGTTGAGTGCAATGTGCACGAAAATTGAGATCGCTATCCAGAAAAAGACCTAGGAATTTCACACTGTCACCTTTTTCTACCACAACATCCGATACTCTAATACTTGGATTAACATAATTAGAATTTTGAGCAGTATGGAAGATAACAGCTTTTGTTTTAGGAGTATTCAGATACAAAGAGTTTTCACAAAACCAGTTTTGAAGATTATTCAAATCCGAATCAATGTTCTCTTGCAGCTCAACTCGATCAGTTGATCCAAATAAAAGAGAGGAATCATCAGCATATAAGCACGTGAATGAGTTAGGTAAAACAGAGGGCAAATCGTTTATGTATAAAATAAACAGAATTGGCCCCAAAACAGATCCTTGAGATATCAATATTATTTGACAATTGATCCGAAAAGAAATATTTATCATGGTTGTCACTTGAATGATGTATTTTCACGGTTTGTGTTCGATTTGAGAGATATGATAAAAACCACTTGTGCTGAAAACCCCTAATGCCAATATTGTATAATTTTCTCATAAGAATATCGTGATTAACACAGTCAAAAGCCCGACTGAGATCACAAAAAATACCTGTCGGGTTTTTACCTGCTTCAACGGACTTTAGTAGTGTTGAATAAAATGATATTATTGCAGTTGTAGTTGAGTGCTCGGATCGAAATCCATGTTGATTTGGAGAAAGTATATCATTTATTTTTAAAAAATGATGTAAAAATTTCAACATTATATACTCAAAGACTTTTGATAATGTTGAAGGCACCGCGATTGGGCGATAATTTTCCAAATTATGGATATTTCCTTTTTTAAAGATTGGGGTGATAGTTGAGTGCTTCAAACGAGATGGAAAATGTCCTTGTTGTAATGATATATTTATTATATGACATAGAGGTGAACTAATGCAAGATGCAATTTTTTTCAACACATATCCAGAGATACCATCGAATCCACATGAATGCTTATTTTTAATATTGTTTCTGATTACTTGGAGTATATCGTCTTCAGAAACATAGGTGATGAATATACTATTTTTGTTTACAGAAGGAATATGAGAAATATTATTCATAGGATTTGTGGATCCTGGGATTTTTTCAATAGTTTCATAAGGTGCGTTGATAAAATAATCATTGAAAATATTGGATACTAATTGCGGATCTTCTACCCGACCTTCATCAGATTCTATAGATATATTACTAGTTTTAGAAATTTTCCCGTTTAATTCATTGACAACACACCATGTGTTTTTATTAATGTTATCTGAACTATATATTTTATCCATGTAGAATTGACTTTTTGCCTTTTTCACTTTATTTTTATGCTGTTTTTTCATCATCCAATAATACTCTTTCAGTTCAGGATTCGTTTTCTGTTGTTTGTACAAATTTTTGAGATTCCTACTTGACCTTCTGATTTCGTCGTCGACCCATACAGATGTGTGACTTTTATTAGAGTTTGTTTTTAGAAGTTTAATGGGACATTCACAATTGAAATGGTATATCAAAGTATCATGAAAACTGTTGAAAGCATCCTCAAGGTCATCTGATAGATATGTTTCTGACCAGGCTTGATTTTTCAAAACACTAATCAAAGTTTGGATATTAGAATTATTCACCAGTCTCTTATACTTATAATTATGACTCTTATCATTCTGATGCTGTTTCGTGGAAAAAATGACAGTGCGATGAGAGGATATACAGTTGTCAAGCACATTCCACTCATTATCATCTGGTAAATTGGTGTAAATCTGGTCAAGAATTGTTTCACAAGTCGAGCTTGTTGTTCTTGTAGGTTTAGAAATTCTAGGAGTGAGGCCATATGATGCCATTAATTGCGTGAAATGGTTAAAGTTGGTATCGGTCATGGAATGTGAATTGAAATCACCATTTAGGATGATGAAGGTTCCATGACTGAATAACCTGTTCAACACTATTGAGATGTTTCCGTAGAAAATCTCAAAGTTCCCTGATGGAGAACGATAACAACTCAATATAACAATATTTTTAGAATTATGTTTCCAAGTCAGACCACAAATTTCAATGCTTTTTTCACAGCAATAATCTTGTAAATCGAGAGGAGTTATATCTAGTTCTGAACGAGACCATATACTAACTCCACCACCTTTATGATTGGTTCTATGATAAGAGTTGGCTAGAGTAAAATTCGTAAAATTAAAACAGTTCACAGAAGTTTCTGAGCACCAGGTCTCTGTCAAACATATAAAATTTATTTTATTATCATCAGATAAATATTCAGCACTTATATAATCGAGTTTGTCATAGTTCAAAGCCTCAACGTTCAGCAATAAGAAGTCAAAATTGGAAGAACAATTTTGCACTGTATTCACGTTGTCGGACCCTTCACAAACTTTCGGAAGTTTAAAAAACGTTGTACGTATGCTCCTTCCGGCCATTTAGTTGGATCCATTGCTTCATCGAAATGAGATTCGTAGATCATGACTTTGAAAGAAGCATAGATATCTGGATGTTTGGATGTAAGCGCCTCAGTTTTTACTTCGGGAAAGTGCGAAGATAGTGATTCCTTCATCTCATCTGCAGTCATCGTAGGATCTACTCTGTAAACATGAAGATTAGCCATTTTCGGAATTCCTCTTAGTTCCTTTCCATTGACTTTCAGGTCACTATTCTGTCCAACAACTAATTTTCTTCTGGGTTTAGATTTTGTCACTAATTTCCAATCACTGCTAGATTCGGATGACATATTATCAGCAAGATTTATTATATCCTTGCATTTTTGCTGCGTTGCCTGCTGCAGTATAGAGTGTGATACATGCTTGTTGGAGATAGTTGCATTCTTAGATATATCAGGGCTAACGGCAACACTGTAAGATATATCAACATTCCCAGCTTCTGCTAGTCTCGTTTTATCACTGATATGACGATGAGTTTTTATGGATCCTTGGTTTTTACAGGATTCTCCATTCATTTTTATATCTGAATTGTTTTTTGTTTCTTTCAATAAAACAATTTGTTCCTGCATTAAATCTATTTTTTGCCGAAGTTCACTGATTATTGCATCTTTCTGTTTTACGATATACTTGAATATATTAACATCGATTACCTTATTATCTCCTGCTAGGTTTTCCATGGCATCGAAGAACGCCTGGTCACTGTCATGACTAACCTCTCCTGGAGAACAGCATATTACGAGATCGTCATTCATAAATTTCACATCTGCATTTCTTGCACAACTCGAATGATAGTTGTTTTCACACACGTTGCACTTTAGACCTTTAACTACGTTTTTCTTGCACTTATTACATGATTTATTTCTGAGAGCTCCATCAGACACATTCACATTACTCGGCGCCATGTTGCCAGATGTAAGAGCGAAATTTCCTGAATCATTAGATTTATCAATGAACCTTGTAAATCTCTACTGGTGTAAAATGGCTCGCATTTTCAGCTGTGGGTACATGGCTTTTCTAAACGCTACCAAGAATGAAAATTTGAATGTCGGATGTTGCTCATTTCCACTTACCTCCTCTCGAACTGCTCCTGTTGCCACCTCAAATTCTCCGCTACCGGCAAACTCACAGTAACACTAGGCAAGCTGATGAAATTGTTCTGCAACGACACCGATCTGAAGCTGTACGTCTCTCCGGGGCACAAGTCGTCGACCGTGAAGGGCTGACTGACCACCGGCTTGCCATCGTTCACCATCACCCATTCCCCCGAGCCCAGTTTGCAATATTCGACGACGAACTGCGAACAGTCGACTCCCTCCCATTCCAGCAGCACTGAACTGCTCGAAAGCACCTGTTGCAATTCAACAAGTTGGGGTTAAGTTATCGGGTATGATTTCTTTAGATTTTTTTTAAGTGACTCGGCCGTTACTTGATGGAAATCCATGGCAAATGTAAGAACTTCACAAATTTATTTATGTGGAAATGAAGCTAATTTTTCAGTTGATGATCCAAAATAGGTTGAAGTTCAATAATTTTGATTATTATTGTTGATGGTAGGATAAACTGCTTGATTATGAAGTTCTTTAGAAAGAATACTGTCTATCAAAATAGGTCGAAGTTCGATAATTTTGATTATTATTCTTGATGGTAGGATAAACTGATTGAATAGCTTTATTATGAAGTTCTTTAGAAAGAATACTGTCTATCAAATTAATTTGAAAAACAGGGCTCAAAAGTAGCATAAAGAACAAATAACACGTTGGAAAGGTTTATCAAGAATAATAAAGACAAAGCTTCTAAATTAGAAGAATCAGGGGTATACAAACTCAACTGTGGATCTTGTCCTAAGGTATACCGGGTGACACAGGCTATCGGGCCACCCCTGTAACTTTTGCATTCGTCAACGGATTTTTCTGAAATTCGGTACAGTTATATAAGCAACTATTGCGGATTTGATCACGTCACAATCCAATATGGCGGACTTCCGGTTTTTCTGGAAATGCCAGCAATTTTGTTTTTTCAAATGGAACACCCTGTATATTTTTACATATTCAAGTTCGACAGGTCATAACAAGTGCAATCTTGATGTCAAATGTCATTTATTCCACAGCCTACCTAGTTGAAAAATGATTCTAACTGCAAGGAAATTCATGACTAGTTGTTGATTTTTGAATGTATACAATTTGTTACTGCACCGAAAAACAAAAATGATATTTCATTTTGTTCCTTAATGTATGTTCTAGAGAAACGGGTAGGTGGCCCATAGGGGTTCCATTTGAAAAAAAATAATTTTTGATCAAAAAGTGATGTGGCTGAATTGATTCCTGGATAAGTGACACAAAAAATAATTTTTCAGAAAAAATTTTGTTCTTCTGTTATGTGTGACTCATTTTGAATAGTCTTGACCACATCTCATTCATCCACGAGGTAAAATGAAAAAACAATTTTTATTTAATTTTTTTCGAAAAAATGACATTTGAAATAAATATTGCACTTGTTTCTACCTGTTGAACTTGAATATGTAAAAATATACAGGGTGTTTCATTTGAAAAAACAAAGTTGCTGGCATTTCCAGAAATACCGGAAGTCCGCCATATTGGATTGTAATGTGATCAAATCCGAAATGATTGCTTATATAACTGTACCGAATTTCAGAAAAATCTGATGACGAAAGCAGAAGTTACAGGGGTGGCCCGATACCCTGTGTCACCCGGTATATATCGGTCAGGCAGGTCGTACGTTCAATCAGCGCATTCATGAACATAAGATGAATTTTTTGAAAAAGAAAACAAATTCAACATACGCCAACCATATATTGGAAAAAAACATAGTTTTGATGATACTTTCGAAATTCTACACGTAGAAAATGAAGGAATGAAACTCACATCATTTTGAATCATTTTGAAAAACTCAAAAATTCGGACATTTTACTTAACCATCAATTAGACCTCAATAATTCACCACTGTTGAATTTGTTTTCTTAGTAAGTAACAATATGTATTTGATATCAACCCTTTCAAGTTAAACCGGTACACCGTATAATAATGTAGATATTCTGCCTAATTTCCGAAAATGCAGGTTTAACGAACCTGTCCACAGGTAACTAATTCTTCAGGTTAGGAAAGTAGGATATATAAGCAAGCCAAGGTTAGTTTAATTCATCACCTGACGAATCTACTGTGTTAGTGAAACATGTCGTGTGTTTGAGAATTTTGTAGAAATCTTATCGTTTGTGAAGTTTTTACTTTAGAATTATGTCAACAATTGAGAAGCAGAAGTGACAAAGGGGCTATGTAGTACCAATTTGTCGAAAAATGTGATATCTGTATAAGAAGGTGTGCCATCGATTAAAGCCTCACTAACGGGTCAAAAGTTGACATGATTTATGGTACTTGAAAACCGATGTTTGTGTGGCTTAGATGTGACTCAGCATGAATATAGTTTTCGAGGTTAAATTTTCTAGAAAATAATGGAATAAATCCACACTAGGTGATGAAATGTTCGGTTTACACAATCATTAAATCTTTGATATTCTCCGATAATTCGTGGACGATTCCGAAAAGAGTGTCCAATATTCATTTACATGAAAAACGCCAGAATGCCTTCTATCCGTTTTTTGGTTAAATCTCTTTTCCGCGCCCCGCGTTTTTCAACACTACCAAAATCATGTTGGGGACACTGTAGTAGGTGACGTCAATATAAACCGTACTTATTGGTACTAGGCCATCTTTGCTACGAGACAAATACTCGCCAGTAATGTTCACTGCGGATGGAGGTCGGCTGCCAGCAGTACATAAGAATAGGAAAAAAAAGGAAGAAATAGAGAAAGAAAGTGACTATGCTCGAGGTTAGGTTAGGATAACAATAACAATATATTTATCATATCATCTGGAGATATATCGAGAACTTCAAGACAGAAGTAGAGATGAGATGACGTTGCGGTGACATAAAAACTACAGGAAAACATGTCTAACTTTCTTTCTAAGCCAGGAGTTAGGAATGTTTTCCCGTAGTTTTCATGTTATCACAATGTCAGATGATGATCTTGGCTAGGGTCCCTTGATGCAAACTGACGTATTTGTCATCTAACAGGGTACGGACAGATCATGTCTCCTTTCTGACATGACATTACTGTCACGTCACATTCGAATGCGTTAAAAGAGATCATAACAAATTTTAATTTCATACTTTATACGATATTAATCAATTCTGTTTTTGAAGGGTGGTAAAATGTGCTGCGTTAGGCTGTATCAATCAGTTGGATGGCAAATTTCAATTTGTCAGCTTTCCATCAAATGCAAATGAACTTAGAACATGGAAAGTGAAGTGACCGAATGGGGAAAATTGGTAAATACATCAGCAAAATATTCGAGGTAAAACTAATACGGAAGTAATCACATATTATACTTTCAGTCCCATTTGGTAAAACGTATTAAACTTTCCGAAAAATTTGCTCACTGCCTCACAAAGATTATACTGGAGTTGAAAAATCAGGTACTCGAAAATTATCATTGTCATTTGGAAAAAATATGTAGGGTTGAATGAGAAATTACATGTGGAAATTACGTATGATACGCCAATGTCCTCAATATAACCTAAAAAACAACAAATGTCAGAAATCTAGCGTTTATCCCCAGAAATGAATGAAGATGGAACTATATAACTGTTTCACAAACACTTTAGAGTGAGAGCAGGAGACGAGGATCTGTCCGTACCCTGTTAAGATGACAAATCCGTCAATTTACATCAAGGGACCCTAATGTTGGCTACCGCGAATAGCCATAATCATTAATTAAGAATCATTGCGGCTATCAAGGATTACCAAATAGTGTGCTGGCCTCACTTGGACTAGTCTGCCGTGATAGCTGAAATTCCCTAATAAAGGAAGGTATGATGGTTCACGTTCATTGTAATAATTATATTTGTTTCAGGAGTTATTGCTTCAGGGAATCATACATATATTAAGTGATATAAATCATCGATCACTGTGATCTATCTATGTAGTTGGGATGATCCATAATGAATCTTTACACAGAAATAATAGACAATTTTGTTGTTCGCAGTGGGTGTGATAATATTGTCCAATTCTTAAAAAAAAGTGTAACACACCTGCACGGTAGGCTCCGGCACTGGAGCGAAATTATTAGTGACAGTGAGGGTCGCTGTGCTGGTGGCTGAGCCGAATTCGTTGGATACGGTGAAAGAGTATTTGCCAGAGTCCGTGACTTTGACGTTGTCTATCGTCAGAGATGCCACGCCTTCTTCTGAGTCGCCTTGGGTGAACTTTCCGTTATGCAGGACACAGTGGTTTGGTTCTAGTTTCTTCCAGATTTGTTTGGTGACTTTGCCGCTGATTTTGACTTTGCATTCGAGCAGGACTTTCGTACCGCTCTGTACCTGTTAGGAAAAATCGTGAAGAATAGGAAACATTACGATTCGTCTTTCTTTCAATCGTAATACAAGTTCGAAAATAATAGTTATTTGTATGCTGTGCTGAAAGAAAAGTTATAGGCGAGGTTGCCAAACAGTTTCGCGGCCATGATATATCCACTATTTTTCGTGCCATCGTTGGAATTATTGAACTAAATAACTGGAGTAATATTTTGAATGAATACAAAATATTTTGACAGTTCTCTCAGTTTGTTACTATTGTCGTAGTTTTTGAATATCAAATTCGAAAATTACGTTTGGTTTGGAGGCTCTTGCTATGGGTAAAGGCTGCGAAGTTGTACTTCGCGTACTGTGTAGAGAACGTGAACTACTCTCTTCGCGTACGATTGCACGAAAACGAATTTGTTGAAGTTGAAGCTTTAGAAATACACATGTCATATGTGTCATGTAGTGAGCACGTAAAAGTTGGAACAAATTTGTTGAAAGCTCTATATGCCCATCGTGAAAAAGAAGCTCAGATACCTCGATTGTCTTTTCCAGTTGCACATTTGTTGGTCTACTCATAATAGGAAAAAATATGACATCCATACACAGAAAATTGGGTTACTTTTTATATTATTAAAATAGGGTATTGCCATAAAAAAATGATAATGAGGTCATCATTCAAATTCGAACAATGATACCATCTACAAAAATATGAAGACAAAAAAATGCGGAACTGAAAAAGAAAATCGACGTGCCTGAGCTTTTTCCCCACTGGCCATATCAAACTTTTAACGAATTTCTCCCAACCTTGATGTGCTCACTGTATATTAACCCTGTAACCACAAGATCGCAACAATTGAAGGAAGTATTTCAATTTATTGGGCCAGAGATTTGAAATATTCTAAAAAACGAACATTTTGACAGCACTCTAGCAAATATTGGGAAAAAAAGCTTGGACTAACTTGCCTCATAGTGACTGATTCCTTAGGAAATGACAAATCTGATAATTACGTTTCTATTGTTGAGAATATGCTGTCATCGTATCGATAAATTGAATACAGTAAGCAAATTTTCATGGGATACGGAACGATAATGATTCAAGAATGCTACTGAAAGATTCAAATTAAAAAAAAATCACTCTGCCCACAGAACTTTCAATATAATGCATAGAGTCCTAAATGTAAACAAACATTCAATGTACTTCTTTTTAGTTACATGAATATAAGTAATTTTAATCGCCTATTGTCTCATATAATCAACATACCATTACATCCTTCAGTTTTTCCTTGAACTGTGGTACCATATGCGCCACATGATCTTGATTACCGTTGTCATCGATACTCTTTCTGGGTTTCCTGAATCTGAAAGACCACGGTTTGCGGCTATATACTGTTAAGGTATGTATCGGCACCCACAACTCTTGGAGGCTGGTACTGGTTTTGACATAGTACCCTTGAACGGGATCAGAGCGCAATATAGTGACCAATTCGCCAAGGGTTAGGTCAGGCCATTCGCATATCAGTCTTGCTTGGGTACCTGGTGGCATTATAATTTGCTCCGGCTAAAAATAAATACATAAAATATTTCAAATAGTGATGAGGCGGGTTCATTTTTAATCACCCTAGTTGATAAACAATCAAGATTCAGGAAAAGTTCAATTGATTACATAAACCACAGTCATTGGAGAATGCATTAAAAAGTGTTATCTAGACAAAAATTTTGAATTGACTCGGCCGTTACTTGATGGAAATCTATAGCAAATGTATAAAATTCACAAACGATGAGATTTCCACAAAAATCTCATTTACACGTATACAGGGTGACCCAGAACAAATTTATCCCCCCAAGTATCTTCGTTGTTTCAAATTTGGTACACCGATTTGATTCATGATTGTATAATTCCGATAGTATCAGACCAATGACATTTCCGGTTTGACCGGAACTGCATCCAATTTTTTTCTGAAAATTACGATTCAGTATAAAATAATCTTTCCAACAATATATCACAATCATACTTTCAATCTACGATCTACTTATATAATTGAGATTTTATGAAATATAAATTTTTGTATTACCTCGTAACTAAATAAAAATTATAAAATGAAAATATTGAGATGACATCATCTGATGACCTTGGTGACGGCGAATATCATAGCCAACTACTTTGAAGTTGAAAGGTTCAATACGATGTAAATAGGTATAGCATGGAGATAATCATCATTAAAACTAAATAAGAAACAGAGAATTGAATTTTTTCCTGTCTGGTATCTCATTATGTATGAGTTACTAACCAACTGACACTTATGATAGTATTTAAAAAAGAAATTAGTTCATTGGTGTTGAAAAATAAAGAAAAACTAAAATATAGTTAGTGTGCATAACAATTATTGTGTAAGAACTTTGACATCGAATTATTGTTACTCACATGCTATTGTTTCATTATCCATGGTACACTTTCATGGAAATATTCGGTTACAAGGGGAAAACAAGAAGTATTTTTTTATAAAATCTCCTTTATATGACTAGATTGTGGATTGAAAATATGATTGTGATATATCGTTAGAAAGGTAATTTTATACTGAATCGTAATATCCAGAAAAAAATTATACTTTATATTTGAAATATGAAAATTTGATGCACTGCCCAAACCGGAAGTGCCATATTTCGTCTGATACTAGTAAAATCATACACTCATGCAATCAAATCGATGTACCAAATTTGAAACATCCATTCAAAATAGCAACGAAGATACAGGGGGGTAAATTGGTTCCGGGTCACCTGGTATGTTATCTCTTAAGCTTTGAGTAAGTTCATATTGAAATCGTGAAATTTCACAAAATCTGGAAATTAAATCCGTTCAATTTTGGAAACCAAGTAACTATAATTGAAGATTGAATAGTAGTGAATTCCACTCGAATTCCTCTTATTCGGGCTATGATCACAGTTTTTTTTATTGTGTGACTAAACAAACACGAGGTCAGAGGAACTCCTAGTATGGCTATAATTATAAATTAGGCAGCATTTTCAAGCAAGCGTTGTTCGACGTCCGATATCTGCTATGATGAACAAAAAATGTTTGATTGATTGTCTTTATCACTCCAAGAAACATATCTGTTTATAATAGGGATACATGATCATATATCAAAAAATATTAATAATAATAATAAAAGGTTAACTAATGAATTCTAGTCAGTGGAAACAAATTCATACTTCTTCTTAAGATGAAAGTTACAACATTTCAATTCTGAGTTATCAAATCATGCCAAATATTTTTCAACTCACTTCAATGCATTCGGTAATGAATTGTATGAAATTATGCCAGTATGAAATACAGATTATTTGCCAATGTTCGACTTGAATGTATTTAGTTGGTATTGGTAGGTTGGATGGTGACAGATGCGCTGCGACCTAATTAGATCTATTGTGCCCCATCTGCTTCTGCTATATCAAGGATTTCTTGTTTATAGCAGCCCCTCGAGATTAAATTCCTTCAGGTTTTGAGGATTTTGAGGGGGTCCAGCTGTGGTATTTCTTCCACAGTCAGCTGGTGTGTTCCCAGTATGTTCAATCTTTTGTGATGAACAGCGTCACACTCCATCAGTATGTGATGGGGTGTTTCTGGTTCTCCCTGTATTTAGTTTCAAGTAATTCAATTGTCTAGTCCCATAACTATGGACTGTATTGACTTCACCAAAAGCTAAGTTTGATATTTTCGTATGAAAGTTTTATCTTTCATCGACGTCGGACGGCTGTTGTGACTGGATATCCATGAATATTAAAACCATAGATTATAAACTGTACAAATGATTTTATTTACAACCATATATGTAACCTTGTCATTACCATAGATATAAAATAGTATACAAACCTTGGTAGGGCGTTTCATTCCTGTCTCGAGATCATAGCTAACATCGACGCTTTGCGTCTCGGTCAACTAACTTAATCTCACGACAGGAATGAATCTCTTCCCACCTCGGTGTGTAATATACTATTTCGTTGGCGATTCAATGTATATCTGGAAAAACTGCTCAATGACAATGGGCGAGTGGACTGGTAGTTAATAATCGGCATCCAATCACTTCTCTATATCGCTAGGGACCTGAATCAAACACTCCTTACCTAAAACGTGTCGTCATGGCCACCATTAGGCCATGTTCTTCGATAGATCATATATGATGACGTCAGTTCTTATGCTGTTCCATTATTGGTCAGATAATCTTTCATTCCTACTCATGAAGCAAGGTTGAAAAGTCACCAATTATAATTAAGTATTGAAAAGTTGTTAGAGCCCTGTCGTTGAATAAAACTATATCCAAATTAAATATTTCATTTGACCTAATAACAGGAGGAAGCCATGATATTATAGTTGTTGATTTTGTGACTGTTTAGAGCAATCAGCTGTTGAAATATTTCTTATACTCCATGTTGTAATTGGGATGGAAAATAATAAATTCAAAGGAACTTTTGACGTGTTTTTAATGACTTCTTTAATCTATCTTGTCACTATTTTAAAATCAACAACTGCGTATACATAGTGATGAGAACGAGAACACAATAATGAATGATATTCTCAACACCCCATAACAAAACATCATGTAAATATTGGAAATGCTGTGTTGAACGCTGGGAGATGACAAGACAACGCTCACAATCCTGTGTTGAGTGTATTAATATAATAATTATCAACACAATTTCATCATATTACGCAATACAATACAACATATAAGAGGAAAAATTACAAGACAATGGATTTTTTATAGCTAATGAATAATATTACCAATACAGAATTTATGAATTATTAAATTAATAATATTTCTGAAGTTCCCATTCGTATTTCAACATACGGCAACTGTGCTATGGCCTGCACCTACTTACAAATTCGTGACGTAAGTATTTATTTGTGGTGAATTTCCAGCCGTTTGAAAATTACCGTGGCAATATTGATGATTTTAGCACCTTAAAATCAACCGAAAAAATTTGAGAGAAGTATGGAATTAAATTAAATGAATAATGATTTTATTTAAGAAATAAAAAAAATATTCCACTCGCCTATCGTGAACAAAATGAGGGTAAAAACTGTCGCCATGATATTTCGAATTTCAAATACAATTCCAGTGAATGGAAATTGGATTATTTTGGGAGTACGTCTGACAACGGATACATGGAAATCCTGAGCCACATTCTCATATCGCCATCAAGAAAATTTGTTCAGAAGCAGCACCAACTACTTTCTTCCCATTTTGAATTATTCATAAGGGCATAAAGTTAAAAATATTTACTTACTATTGGTTGATTAGCTTCTGACCACCTTCTGGGCGAATCACTCTGATTGGTTTCTTTGGCAGCCTCCAAAACCGCTGTATCACTCTTGTGCTTATTTCTCAAGGTATTCCTGAACCCCTCGAAAAAATTCAGTCTTAATTTGGGGTTGTTATTTTTGTAATCGTCTAGTTCTTTCTCTGAAGGGATGCCGATGGTGTTCGCCTTGTGGATATAGTGAGTTTTTCTGATTTCCGGTTTGGAGGAATCTGACGATGGGGTTTTCGTTATGTCCCATGAGAGATCTGACATGGAACTAGATGGGGTTTAATAATAACGAAAAATAAGACAAGAAAAAGCTAAATAATCATAAGAGTGTGTGAAGTAAATATCTATAATAATAACTGACAACCAAGCATTTCATTTCAATTTTTATCATAGTTTCATCTACTCGCGTAAAAACTTCCTTCGGACTGGTAAGTAGGTGCACAAACTTACCTTCAATGAGACACTTTAGTCAAGAAATGAATCAAATCTGAACTGTCATTTATACACTTGGCTGGCTGGCTGTTCAAAGATGTTCAAATATATGGAATGAACAAAAATATAATAATGAAAACAGGATTTTGTCGACCAAAATTTGAAAAAAAATCTTCCTATTATGCACTAATACTGAGAAATATAATACCTTAGAGTTACGAATTCAATACTGAAGAAGTTTCCCCATTATGTATACAGAAAAGTTTACGATTACTCTCACTATGAGAGTCGACAACCTTATTTATTTCTGAAGAAGTTGTGTAGGTAATTAAAATAATTAATTTAATGAGTGGTACAATTAATATTATGTTAAGTAATGAATCCCAACCCAACACCAAGAAGAAATATACTCTACCAGACAGGCCAAACGATAGAATGAACTCCTTATATGTGAACTCAAGTCAAAAATGTCAAAAAAATATTTTGTTTTGTTAGTTATACATCGGAGATGATTTGAGAGCTTAGGAAGATGAAAATTACAGTTTGTGAAAACAGCGTTGTTACGATGCTCTTATATATTTTGTTGTGGATGAATATAATGATTCAGCAGACTTCATTCAGCGAAATCCAACATTCAAATAGAGAAAATTTTGATAAATTTGAAAGTTAATACACCCTCTCTGATTTTCGAAAAATGTAGAGTTCTAGAATATTTTTTCAATTCATCCCTCATATAATATACAGTAATCGAGTGATTTACACTTTATTAAAATTCCAAATAATCACTAGTAACATTTGGCCATATACACATGCGACGTACGTTGATAAAACTAAACCCACCAAGCTCAATAAGTACTCCCCATCAAAAATTCTAGGTTCTAATGAATAATATAAGGTTGTATCACGATTGTTGAATTAATTCTGATTTATTTTTACGGCCGGCTGAAATGATAAAGCAATGAATAAAGCGAAGAAAAGTTTGCAAAAAAAACATGTACTTATAAATTATTTTCATTCAAGAATCAGAAGTGAAATATACTATCTGCTTCCCATGATTTTTTTGCAAACAGTATGTAATGTATGCTGAAAGAATCCAGGCGCATTAGAATCAATGATATCTAGTATCAAAATGTTTACAAGCAAGTTAGTTGAGAGTCGGTTATGTCACCAGGCTTTAGGCAATTGCAATCTTGAGCAAACACATTTCAATGGTTAAATAACTCAATAATGATAAGCGAATCTGAAATAAATGAACAGAAACAAAACCAAGACAAAAAAGAAAAAGAGTACCAGATTGATGGCAAGGATCGAGAAAAAAACAGCTGGCCAAGTTTCATTATTTTATTCTATTGAAAATTTTCATCTCATCGCTTATCAATGAATATAATATTTACATACATTCTATGTACAGATACAACTTAAATCAATACAATCAATAATATATACTTAATAACATAGATCTCACTGTTGGTTTTCAAGAGTATTACAGGTTTATAAAAGAAAGGGAACACACCAAATGATCATTCAAATCATATACGACTAATCTATGATTTGTACCCGTTATTTTTGATTTTGAGCAATTGAATTTCATCTCAACAAAAATAAATAAATAAATACATCAACAATCGATTATTTTGTGAAAATAAAACTTTTCAACATTTTCTAAAACTAGTTTTGCATGCAAGATTTTTATTGGCCCTTTTCTTCCATTGCAGTGAATCACATAAAATTTACAAATATTTGAAAAGCTGCAAATCATGAGAAATATCATTTCTAGTTATGATAATGATTTGAAAGTCACTTTGATAGTTGAAATATAATAAAAACATAAAATACGCCATAAAAATCATTTGGTAGGTTCCAGAAGAAAATGTTAGTATACAGTGTATCCTACAAGTATACACCTCTAAAATTAATCCATTCGGCCATCTTGTGTAATGTGAGAAATTGGTACGAATTTGGACAAGAAGTGATTATAAATTGTGGTATGTGACCAAGTATCTACGTGTACACTTTTCAGGACATGCTGTATACAAACGGTGCCCAAAAGAATTAATGCTCATGCTTCTGAGCTACCTCATAGAGTTTAGAGAAATATAGATATTTTTTTCATTGAAAGACGATCCAGCAATGAACACCCTTCACACCAAATGCACCAACATCAATCCACTTTTTTTACTGAAGAGTAGTTCTCATGAGTAGCATATTTTTTGTAATCTACTTGAGCAAGAATATTGGGAAGAAAACGGTAGGGATTCATAGAAGCATAATTATTCATCATTTGACAATATGACATATTTCGCTTGATTCCATCTCTACAGGTTTTCCACAAAATTATAACTTATACAAACTCTATACAGAGTGTTTGGTTTAACGACGTATATCTGATAAGGGGTAATAACATAGTGGAAGGAGAAGATGGTGTGCCTACGCGCATATTATGTGACGTCATCTGGGATTACCAATATCAGCTGCTAGTCACAGACAGATACCGTTGCCATGGGCGTGCGCAATGAATTCAATCATGTTTATTGAAATTTCTATAAGTTTCTCGATCTGTTTAGAAATAATTCAATTTATATAAACATGTTCCTATTCCTTCGATTTTACTATTTCATTGATTCTGGAAATTGTGATCTTGAGGTAATTCGCAATCGCAAATAGCAAATACATACGAATTATCATGCATTGCCAATCCCATCTGAATGATCCACTACTGTGTCGATTCTGACAGATAAACATTCAGCAGTTAACGACGTTGACGTTGCTTCTGCTCCGACATCGACAACAGGAGTATCAATTTTTGCCGTTTTGTTATTCAAATCTTTGCTGCAATTTATATTTTGTGAGAAATTAAGAATTTTCGAATTCATTGTCAATTATTTCTGACTTGATATTCGGAAGATGTTCTGTAGGAATGGCACCTTGTTTCAAATATTTGTGATTTTTTGGAGGTGTGTAATTCAAGAACCGAACTTTCGCACTTGTTTGGGAACATTTTGCATGGGAATGTTTTGAAAAAATACGTGCTGTAATATGAATGTGATGATAATATTATGATAGGTGAATACTTTGGAATGAGGATATAAGGAATATAAGGTAGGTACCATTATTTGAGTTTATACAGTGTGTCCCACTTACCATGCTCACCATGGGTATCTTTTTAACGGTGAGAGATACGAGGTCGGTTAAATGACACCAAATGTGGAGTTTGTCAAGGTCAACTATAATGTGAAAAAATATTTTGATAAAATCTATTCGTTTTTGTTTCATACGCAAAAAACAGATTTTGATCATTTTCATGTCTCCTCCGTAACTTCTTTATTTATGAAAATATTCAAATGGGAATTTCACATTCTCATGGCAGTTTTTCAAAGTGATTTCGAAAAAAATATGAAATTTATACCAACTCCTCTAGAATTTGAGATATCAGCACCAACTTTAGTTTTTCAAATGTAGGTCATAGCTCACTATGACTTAGTTACAAATAACTTTTTTTTCTCTTTCAGATGATATGTCGCAGTAATAGTTTTGTGTTGATAACAACGGAGTTATCGTTATTTATACAAAAACAAAAAATTATTTGGAAGCCGCTATCTTGAATTTATAAATTTTAACAAAAAAATCATGATCTCCGACCTCAAAAACCCCCACTTACCAATTTTGAATGGAATCGGACCAGATCTTGTCCGCCATCTTGGAGCAGCCATTTTTTTCAATTTCAACAAAAATTCCATAACTTCGATTACCTTGAAATTTGGCAGTTGTTCATGATTTCGGTGACGATACATTATGGAATTTTTGTTGAAATTAAAAAAAATGGCTGCTCCAAGATGGCGGACAAGATTTGGTCCGATTTCATTCAAAATTGGTAAGTGGTGGTATTTGAGGTCGGAGATCATGATTTTTTTGTTAAAATTTATAAATTCAAGATGGCGGCTTCCAAATAATTTTTTGTTTTTGTATAAATAACGATAACTCCGTTGTTATCAAGACAAAACTATTACTGCGACATATCATCTGAAAGAGAAAAAAAAGTTATTTGTAACTAAGTCATAGTGAGCTATGAATTACATTTGAAAAACTAAAGTTGGTGCTGATATCTCAAATTCTAGAGGGGTTGGTATAAATTTCATATTTTTTTCGAAATTCCTATTTGAATATTTTCATAAATAAAAAAGTTACGGAGGAGACATGAAAATGACCAAAATCTGTTTTTTGCGTTTAAAACAAAAACGAATAGATTGTATCAAAATATTTTTTCACATTATAGTTGGCCTTCACAAACTCCACATTTGGTGTCATTTAACCGACCTCGTATCTCTCACCGTTAAAAAGATACCCATGGTGAGCATGGTAAGTGGGACACACTGTATTCTGTCGGCAGCAAGCTCCCATCGTTTCATTAGGTCTCCATTCTTGGAGAAGCAGAAAAATTCAATATCTGTGCCTTTTGTATGTTAGTTGGAATTTCCATAACCAGAAACGAAACAAGTAGGCATTTCGAAATTATTTCATTCAATTTTAGTACTAATATGATATCTGAAGTTCGAGACATCAATCACGAAAACAAATAATATCAATGACAGTTATATCCCAGCTGACGTAATGCGCAGAACAAGACGAGTTTGAGCTTTCTGTTGAGCACACCATCTTCTCCTTCCACTATGGGGTAATAAGTAAGAACATATACAGGGTGTATCTAAATAACACCGAAAAAATTCAAGGGGGGATCCCTTGTGATAACTTGCTTCGTTTTCGAGATACAGGGTATTAATATTTCCATGAAAAATCGTTTGTTATTTTATTACTCAATTGTCTTTCCATCAATTTCAA